ATTTACAGAACATCTCCTAGTCGTCAGCCCTAAACGAATGCATTTTGTTATTTATTGCTGCTTCCAGAAAGAAGGGTTTGGGCATTCAAAATATTTTGGTTGATGGCTACGGTGGCGTATGCGTAATATTTGTGCACAACAACAGATACTCATTAATCAACTATTTGTTTGCAATGTCAAACAGCCAACTGAATAAGTAGAGCCCATATGGAATCTATTTCTAGAAACGTTGACTTTGGAGCACTTTAAAACGATTTGTAATACGAATTTGCAAATAGATTGCAATATGCAAATTGGCTGAGATAAAGTCATTAATCAAGTGTCACTCGAGATTTAATTACAGTATAAATTATTGATGCTAATTTCTGAAAATATTTCTAATGCAAATACTTGTTTACAGAGAGATAATTTGTAAATAAAATTAATTATTTTTACTTAATCTCAAATTGGTATTATTATTTATTACGGCAAAAGCAGTAGGTCAAGTCAATTGTCGATTATTACGGTAAAATCTGATTAATATTGACAAAATGCAATTTCATTTGCTTGATTGGCTTCAGTTAAAATGACAGACTATAGAATACCCTAAATCTTTGCGCAGATTGGAATAGATAGATAGACGTCACTTTCTGCAATTCACAATACAAATACATATTGTATGTATTCCCATAGGCTGTACAATGGGTAAACAAAAGGTTTCATACCTACACATATTGTAAACTTAGACATGGACGTCAATGCCTTGCTGATAAAATCCAATTACTATCTATATGTCTTAAAGGCCCATAAAAACAACAGATAAATAAGATGTAATTTTGCTTAGCTGTATGACCGAGGTATTCTACAAACTTTTAAAATAATATAGCTCTAAATAAAATTAATAAAAATTTTTAGATAAATAATTCAGTTTTGCTGATTTGATTTTTTTAAATTTGTTGTTGAATATTTATTTCTTTTTATTTATTATTTTATCATTTTAATTTTGAATATATTTATTTATTTATTTTAATTTAATGCCTGCAGGCCAAAATTTTTTATTTAATTTAAGTTTTTGCTGTATTTATTCCATCTACTTTTGTTTTCTTCCTGGCATTTTGTAAACATTCGAAAAATTCAAGCTTAAAATATTTATCTTTGCCAGCATTTAAATGAGTCTTACAATTGTTTTATTTTTAATATTTAAAAAAATTTTTTTTTTGTCATTTGTTATTTTTATGGGTTTGGTTATTTATGCATCTTTTATTGCACAAAGTAGCATAAAAACGTGCTTACACTCCTTATCAATGACAAGCATCCACAGATATGCAATAAATAAGCTTATTTGGTGTTTTTTTTTACCGAAAAGCTAAAGACTTGAATTTATGGCTTGCAGCTGCGGAAAAAAACTCCTTTATAGTTATTGCAATATTTATGCACAGTCTTTTTTTATTTTGTTTTTATTTTTTGTGATTTAATTAACGAGATATTTGAAGACGGAAAAGCTTGGTTTTTAGCCAAGTTAACAAGCGCGCTGAGCTGACATGGAACCGCTTGCCATGCGCTACCTTTTACCAATGAAACTGAAACCAGCTGCGAGGCAACTGAAAAGCCGCAAACCCACAAAATCCAACAACAACAAAGCACTTTTCGTCGTTGACTTTGTCGTCGGCTGTCATCGTGCACTCCCTGTGTGTGTGCATGAGTGTGTGTGTGTGTGTGTGTGTGTGTATGTGTGTGTGTGTGTGTGTGTGTGTGTG